CACCGGGACTGAGGTCCCAGCCCCATCTGACTCCCGCCCCAGGGGTGGTAGTGACGGCCAGTGTGGTGGGACCGAAGGTGATGCTGCCCGGGATGCAATAGCAGACCACTATTGCCATTGAGGGAGTGCGATGAAGTCTTCATGGAAAACGCAGAAGATGGCATGAAGTTTTGCATATTTCGTGTTGATCTTTGTCAGCAGGAGTTGGAGGGGGTCAGATTGTCCTGTTTTCATAGCTCAAAACCCTGTTTTTCAGAGATCCAGGATTCCCAATAATATAAAGTTTAGAGGGTTTAAAGTCTTTAGGCTGTTATGCTCTTCTTTTGCTTTATAAAGACATGAAGCATGGTGGGGTTAATTCTTACCTGAAGACATTTTTACATATCTCTGAACCACAAGGTTTGTTGTGCTGTGAAGAACGGACGTCACACACAACTTGTTCTCAGCTTGCCTGTTTTGTCTGCTCCATATCAATTCTTTATACTTAAGTGTTTTTTTTTCAATCTTTCTTGGAGTTGAAATTAGTCTAATGGCTTTCATATTGGTTTGCTAGGAATACATAACAAATCTGAGGTGAACAGCTGTCTTGTTACATTCATGTTTACTGTTGCTAACTTTTTCTGCTCTTATAGTTTCATCACTACTGCTAACAAAAATGCCCACTTTTTTTTTTTTTCCTTCAGGAAAGTGCTAAAAGAATTAGATTACTGAATTCATCATCAAAAGATAATACGAGTGCTTTCTATGGGATAAATCAGTTTTCTCACCTGTTTCCTGAAGAGTTCAAAGGTACATTTTCTGGTTGCTGCTAATGCCTTTTCTGATATTTTTGTTATCTTTTCCCAGAACCTTGTGTTTTTCACATTCACAGATTCTTCCCGTGCTGATAGTCAGCTAATTTACAATGCCTGGTACACAGATCAGTACTTCTGAAGGATGCAACAATCCTCTTCATATTCTCCAGTCTTGCAAGGTTGAATTGCTCGCAGCCTGAATATGTTTTAGTATACAGACAGTTCTGTCTTTCCTTCTTTCTTCTCACTGTGCCTTAAAGTCTTCTTCAGTTGAATCAGTTTTTGAAGTGGAAGATTCACAAGGTTCTGAGTAAGTTCCTACTGCCTATCCCAAGACAAAACTCACTACAGCCCAAACAGTTCTTGGAGGTCCATGGTTGTACAATAACAGCTATGACTTTCTGGAGCAATGTAACATGCTTTATTTTTTCCCTAGAAAATTTGTCTGATATCTAACTTAATTTTCCCGTCTTGCTGTTCAAGTCTGTTGCTACACTTTCTATTTATCAGAGGATTTAACCCCTTTTTAAATTTTAAATAATTCAGCAACTTTTTTAGTGAAAAACCAACAGTTAGCAAGTGTTTCAGAATTTTTACCTTCTTCTACTCTTACTTTCCCCTTGTACCTGACTAAAATAAACTAATATTTTTTAAGTCAGTAAAATGTGAAAATTTTCCAACAAACCTTGTTTTATGGAGCGGTTATTGTTCAACTTTAGAGAATATTCATATTTCCTACCCACATTCCCTATATAGAATATTCCTTTATTTCTGGAACTATAGGAATATTTATATTCATTCTGGAGTATAATGATTATGTTAAAATATATGAGTTTTCTATGGATTTGAAAATGAGATCTAAACTCATGGTTTTAACTACAGATCAAAGTTACCTCTCTGACTTCTAGTAAAATTGTGGTTTGTGGAATTTTTTCTTTTGTTAGTAGATTTACAGATGTTTGTATTCTGTGTTTAGCTATTTACTTAAGAAGCATACCTCACAAACTTCCCAGATACACAAAAGTGCCAAAGGGAAAGGAAATTCCTTTGCCAAAGAAGTTTGACTGGAGGGACAAGAAAGTCATTGCAGAAGTGAGAAATCAGCAAACAGTAAGTCCTAGTGTTTTCCTTTCCTGGTTCTCAAGCACTGCTCAGAGACAGTTTCAGGGGGTAGACTGTAGAGCACAGTGAAGGTTTTGGAAAGGACCAGCACTGCCTCGAGACTCCTTGGAGAGCTGGCACAAGTATGAGCAGTTGAACGTTACAAAGTCACATAGCATTTTTTGCGAAGTGGAATTAAAAGGATGAGGTGTCAAAATGGTGCATTTAGGAGCTGTGCATTTATAAACTGTGCATAATACATTTTTTGATTTAGTTTACTAGATCTGCAAATATTTTGCATCATGTGTATCTTGTATTTTTCTGGAGGGACCAAGGTAAGTTAGTACCTGATCTTATTCCCCTCAGTTTACCTAGATGAGTATAGATCCTTTCCTATTCTTTGTTCCCATGATCGAATGCCCTTAGCTGGTCAACACCCATGTCTTTACCACTGAACACCTCAGGGGATGCATTCATGATAGGAAGGTGACCAGACCCCACATGACTACAGTTTATCCCAAAGCATTTTGGTAAATGGTAAGAAACAAGTTGTTAAATCCCCAGTGTCTTTCCTTTCTGTGCTTCACAAACCTTGGACCTTGTAAGGAATAAATTCTGCTTCCTATTTTAAAGGCCTCAGTTTAAAGAGTGTAGAACTGGAGTGTAGATTCTGTGACTGTCTGAGAGTTTTTCTGTTACGTTTAATTTCAGCTTACCATTTCTTAAACTGTAATCTAATACAGTTCTATAAAATTCTACAAAAATATACTAATGTGCTTAAAAAATAATTTCATCCTGTGTGCCAATCCTTCTTTAAGAAAATAGATATCTCACAGTAAAAAGCATCCTCAGACCTATCTTAAAGGGCAAAAATCATCATGAGGGAGTCCTTAATGTAAGACAACTGCACTGTAGGAATCCTTAAAATAAGACATCCATAACACATTTCTGGCTTTCAGAGAGCAGTATAGGGGGAAAAAAACAGATCAGTATTTTAAATGGATGATTAAATTTCTTTATTATTGCCTTAAAAACAAAGTTCAAGGATGGTGTAGTAAATTAAGAGCATTAGACAACTCTTTTTGACTCTTTTTTTGCTTTTCATATCAGGCTTCAAAGACAAAACTGACTTTTTCTTTCTCGTCTTTCCCTTTCTATCAGTGTGGAGGCTGCTGGGCTTTCAGCGTTGTGGGTGGCATAGAGTCTGCCTATGCAATTAAAAGAAACAACCTGGAAGAGCTGAGTGTGCAACAAGTTATTGACTGCTCATACAATAATTACGGCTGCAATGGGGGATCCACTGTGAGTGCTCTGAGCTGGCTGAACCAGGTGTGGAACTTTTAATAAACCCCAAACCCTTCATTAGCTTTCATATTACCATTCTTACTTACTGGGAAAAAGTGATGGGGAAGGTGAAGTGTAGAGCTCATCTGATGAGTGTGTACCTTTGTATGTGCACATACATATGTGTGCATGTGTATATGTATGCATATTTATTTAGCATCCAAGAAGGATGTTGACATTTTCTGCTTTCAGCTTTCTATGGTTTCTGTTGCAAACACTGTAAAATTATGTATAAGTGTGGAGAACCTCAGAATAAAATGGATTGTGTTTACTTTTGTTTCACCTGCAACCCAAAACATTGAAAATGCAGACATAATTTCTATTTCAGTTGTACCTAACACATTTCATTCATGAAAAACAAAAAATGCGTGTTAATAACATATGTAAACAGAAACATTTCAATATCTTTGAAATATAAAGTACTCTCTCAGATTGAATTATAAGAATATGAAAAGAATTCCTTCATTTTTTGAAGTTTAAAAAAACACTGTTTTTTCCTTTTTAAGAAGCTGTAATCCTACCCCTGAAGATTCATATAACCATGGCTAATAGGAGTCTAGATAACTTGACTAAGTTTATATTTCAAGAACAACAGAGGATACTCATCTTGATTCCTCTGAAACAAAATTCTGTCTCACTTGGCAACAGAGGGACCACAAATGAATTAGGCTGGAGAAGTCACTGTCATAAATATACTGTGCTGCAGAAGACAAGGAAAGCATAAAAGGCTGATACAATAGCTTTGTAGCTGGACTTTAAACTATTATATAAACATAATATATTAGAATGAGGATTTGATGCTAGTAACAGAATCAGACTTTTTACTATTTTATATAGTTTCTTGGGATAGTTGTGCTTCTTGAACTGTCCCAAGGAGAGGATAATTTTGTGTGTGGAAATCATTTGAAGAGAATGAATAGTCATTCATCAAATGATTATCTCTCTGTCTTGAAATTGATGGGATTGCTTATGAGGCTAGTTTAAACCTGAGATGCCTTTTAAATTTTATTCATTATTTAAAGACTTCTGAATCCCTTCTGAAGCTTTTTCAGTAAACAAGAAAATTAGAGATAGTAAATACCTATTTCACAGTATGACATTCTTATTTTTAATCTCGCCCAGAACACAATGAATTTTGAGTGGATTATGTGGTCATTTTCAATATATTTTGAGCTGCATAGTGACAAAATCAAATGCATTCAGTTCATACTCATTTATCTTCTTGCAGACAAGAGTAAAACTCGTGAGAGATTCAGAATACACTTTTAAAGCTCAGACAGGCCTGTGCCATTATTTTGATCGCTCAGATTTTGGAGTTTCAATAACAGGATTTGCTGCATATGACTTCAGGTAGCTATTGACTCTTTTTATTTGCTGTACTTTTCCTTCTGTGTTCAGCAATTGTGGAGTAAGCTGGAGTGAATAGTGCATTGACCAGGCAAAAATTACAAGGTTGATTGCATTAGTTCTGTAGCTGTGTGCTGGAGAAGGATTAATGCATAACATTTTTGAGAGTTAAGGCTTGCCACAATGAATCCACTCAACACTAAGCCTACTCCAATGAGAAAGCTTAAGGCTGTGGCTTGGAATTAGGCCTTTTAAATTGGCTGTGTATAAACTGGAGTGTTGAGTCGGTTACAGTTTCTTATGTTTGTTTACTAAACAGTGCACTGCTTTATTATTAGTAACAGTAAATCCTACCAGTAGTAATTGGAATTTGTTGAAAAAATTAGGAAATATTCAACTACTTCAGTATTCCTCTATTTACATACCCACCCACGTCTTCTCTACCCCAGAACTTTAGAAACAGTGTTATCAACTGAACTGTGTGAAGACTTCAGCTTTTTAGGTTTCTCTGTGAAAAAACTGTATTTCTAATTTTTATCAATACAATATAGCTACATACTGAATAAAGACAAGAACTGTAATTATGACTAGGAATTTGATTACTGCCAGATATAGGTAACTAAAATCAATTATACCTTTGCCAGTCTGTATTTGCCAAATTTAATTATTGCACATATCATGCATTGATAAATAAAATTGTATGAGGATGATAGTGGTACATGTCTGGTAGTGGAAATGTCCTGTGTTTTGATATGTTTGAGACACATATTTTAGTGTACTGTTATGTACAAGAGGTACTTCTGTATGCCTAAAAACAATGGGAAATCATAATACAGACTCATAGTTTGTCCAAAGCTGTTTGTAATTGAGAAGAGTGATATACAAAAAGTTCATAGTGCTCACCATTGCCCACTGACTTGACCCAGAAACCTGCTGCTTTTTAGTAGCATTGTATCTTTGGATCTGCACCTTTCCTATCATTTCTGTGTCCAATATTTGTATTACTGTGTTGTGGTATATGAAGTATGTAATTGCTGATGTATGTTACATGGCATATAGAACTCAGAAGGAACAGTTTCATTATTTGATTTTTAAATCATACCTAACAAGTAGATCTCTCAAATCCCTTAAGTGTGCTAACTTAAGTAACTTGGCATTATCACTCATTCCTTTCACAGTGGTCAAGAAGAAGAAATGATGAGGATGCTTGTTAAGTGGGGCCCTTTGGCAGTAACAGTAGATGCAGTTAGCTGGCAGGATTATCTTGGTGGAATCATACAGTATCACTGCTCCAGTGGAAGAGCAAATCATGCTGTTCTTGTCACTGGTTTTGACAGAACAGGTGCGTTTTCATCAACTGAACTTCAATCCAGTTGGTTTTGAGTTTTTTTCTTTTAGTTGCAGCTCTGCCTTCTGTGGGACAAGTGATTAAAATCCAGAATGGGGTGTTCTGTTGAAAGCTGTGTGGTTTGATGTCACATCAGTTCTGGAAATGCAGCCTGATCCCAGGAATAAAAATTCGTCACTGCTACTTTAGTTCTTGTCCTTGTAAACTCAAGAACATGGCTATGTGTGTCTTTATACTAGAAGAGCCCATGTCCAGTCTTTCAGTACTGGAATATTAGTTCTGTTCTCTGAACAACTGGTTTCACTGGCCTGTCCATCAAGCCATTGCAAACTATGAGATATTGAAATGCTAATTCGCTGTGTAGAGTGTTAGGAGTCTTTTAAGCTTCCCAAATCTCATGTTGTCTCTAGTTCATGGAATGTCTCTTCCAGGTAGTATCCCGTACTGGATTGTACAGAACTCCTGGGGGCCTACGTGGGGAATAGATGGCTATGTTCATGTTAAGATAGGCGGCAATGTCTGTGGTAAGTCTGACAAAAAATAATTAAGTGGTAAAGGCCACATGCTGGGATACATCTCTCCATGTGGGTAAAGCTATAATAAAGTAATATAATAGTAATATAATAGATATTATGTAATAATATAATGTAATAGTAAAGATATAATGGGATCGTCAGAGAGGCAAAACAAATCACTGCTATGCTTTAAAAGAGCTTAAATGAGTCCAGATGGGAAAATAAATAAGGCATTGCTAGTTCAACCGAGCCATGTATTTGAATGATTGAAAAGGAACGTGTAGAGGTAAAAATAGGTAAGGCATAGCGAGCAGTTAGAGTACTATTATACCTCTCCATGTAGAGGTAATGCCATTGTAAAGTATACAGTCATGTGTCATGGTTCTAGGTTAGTGCCATCGCTGTACTCCCTGTAGTAAAATAGCTGCTGTCCTTGTCTGGCGGATGCAATTATCTCTGGGCTCAGTTTAGGAAACAAATACAAAAATAGACTCTATCTGTGCTTGGGAAATGTGTCCTGCTTGTGGTTTTTGTTCTAGGACAGAGGGTATATCCTTTAAATCCTAGTTCTGTCTCCTGCCCTGGTGTTAGTTTATCTAAATCTTCTGCAAATAAAAACAGATAATATTCAGTTTGCCTGCACTCAGTAAAGATCAGAAGGATGTATCCAATCACAGCTTTTTCATGTTGCTGAATCTTTTGTTTTTACTTTTGTTTTGTATAAAGAAATGATTTTGAAAGGGAAATGTAGAAGTAGCGATAAAGCAAGTCAATTGCAGAGGTGGCAGGGAGAATAGATGTGTTATTTTCAAAATCTCTCAATAAAGCAGGATCTTTCACATTTTTTTGCAGTGTACCACACAAAAACAATCCAGCAAAGGACAGTAGTTGCTCATTTCCCCCAAAGATGTTGTCTTCTGATTTAGAACCCCTGACACCACTTTTAAGTGTAGAAGAGTCATTAGTATTTGATACCTTCACTGGCTATAGTCAAACTTTGCTTCTAGTGTTGGAATGGTTGCAACACAAAAGAGCAGAACCTGTTTAAAAGCCTAGTTTGCACTGTGTTTATGTATGTATGAATGTTCAAAAACATGTCTTGTAGTGGACTTTGTGATCTCCGGTTTCTTAGTGACCTTTCAAAGTTGCATAGTTTCACGTTGTCTAATATTGCTGATGCAAGATATCAAGGTTTAGATCACTTTTCAGCACAGAAATTGCACCAGTTCTGAGTCCTTAAAAAGGATCTAAAATTTTGGACATGAGAGTAGGTTTCAACTATGCACAGTGTCAGGCAAGCAAAAAATAAAAGGGCTACAGATGATTCCATGTAACCCCTACTCCCAGCAGTTCAGAGATGGCATTATATGAATAGGAATTCTAGGAATTTATTTATGGGAAGTCTCCACTTCCAGTATTTATTGAAAAAAAATTTTAATTCCTTTGCAGGTATCGCAGATACAGTTTCATCAGTTTTTGTTTGACACTTTTCTGGGCCAAAAACCACAAATATCATTTGGACACACACTGTATATGAAGATGTATTTCAACACAACATTTTCTAAAATAAGAAGTTGCTATAACGGCAGTTCCTGCGTCCAGCAATAGATGGCTGAAGTTTTTAAAAACATTTTTATTTCGAATTTGTGTTGCGTGCCAAATTTCTCATGGAATAAGAAGACTCCGAATCAACTGCAGGGTTACAAAGATGGACTGAAACCTCAAATGTGGACTCTATCTAGGGTTGAATACTATTCCATAGAAAAATCTTAAAAGGAAAACAGTGGTGACAAATGAGAAGAAATTTGGATTAAAAAATCAGTAGTATAACGGTGTATTTTAAATTATTTGAATATAAAAAGAACCGCGAGTAACAATTTAGAAAGTCAGCAATTACAGAATACATCAAATAGAGTCAGTGTTAAATTTCCCTGTGTTAATTCAATTCATAGGTGAGACTTCCTGGGAATCAAAAAGGGGTTCCAGCTTGGCTGACGTGTGAAACTGCAGCTGCAGGCAAATGTAACTAGAACTCACAACCAAGCATGGAATTCTAAAATGCTCTGAGTTTTTCATCTGCAGTGCTTTACCTGTGTCTTTTAAGAAGCCCTACTGTGAAAAGTACTGAAGCAATTCTGTAATTTTTTCACTCAATTACTGTACCATGTTAATATTTTTTTTATAAACTTTTTATGAAAAATGCAATGAGTGTTTTTAATTGTGTATTGTAAGTATTGCTGGTTTAGTCCTTCTAATTGCTAATATATTTTTAATTAAAGGAAAACCAAGTGCGATGTTTCAACTAATTCAGGTTCTTCTACTTACTGAATTTACTTGGCTGAAAACTTCAGATTAGCAAAATGAAAAGTCTTCTGCACTCATTGTGTAGTTTGGCCTTCCCTGAGTGGTTTACAAACAACAAACAGCACACCTCCACAACTGGAAAACAATTGCTGTGGTACAGAGAACACACCAGAAATTCAGGCCTACAGTGTGTGTCTTTCCAAAGGAAGCATTTAAAAAGACAAGAGTCTATTTAATTAAAAGACCACACAAGCTTTATTGATATTCTATGGTCAAATTTGCCTTTATTGTGTGTCAGTTTTATCCTTATTTCAATGATAGTTTGCATAAAAGCCACTTCAAATGCCTGTCACACTGTTGTTTGAACTTTATAGTTGCTTTAGAAGAAGACTTAACAAAAGATGAGCTTTAAGTAAGTACTTATATCTGCTATTCTTAACAGTAAGTATTTCTACAGAAGGGATTTACGTTCACGTGTAAGCCATACATAACAACATGATTGTTGATCTATGTATAAGTTCAGGATGCTGCAGTTCCTATAGATTCTGGACTTTTTAAATATAGCTTCTGAAACTCTTAACCCAAAATTCCTCTTGAAATTGCACAGAAGAGCTCAGAAACTGATATTCCTCTGAACATGATGAGACTGATTATATCCTCAACCAGACATAAATTAGTAATGGCCATTAGGCAAACAAACAAATACAAAAATATGTACAAATAAGTCATGGTCATTATAATTCCATATGATTTGCACTCTCTCTCTCTCTCTCTAGGTGTAGGTTTTAAGAAGCCAGCTGAGTTAAACTGGTCATTGAGTTGGATTGGGGTATCATTTTAGTCTTAGTATAGGCCAACTCAATACAGATTATTTTTTCTACAAACAATTACATTTCTTCCACAAGCCGATCAAACTATTCACATAGCTGTCATACATAAATACATATTTACACTGTTACGTTTGAGGGGTAGGACCACTCAAGGTGAAAGTCATGAAGTTCTTTACAGCAGCCAGTCTAGAAAAGCAGTCTAGTCAGAGTCGTCGCTGCTGAAATAGGAACTATCACAATATTCTGCTGTGTAAAGGAATTTATGAATGGTTGGATTCATCTTTGGTATCCAGTGTCTTGGCACTAGAAATGTTGAAAGATTGAACAAATCCACAAATACCTTGTATCTGTCACTGAAAAAGACAATTGGAATAATAAATACATCAGCACAAGAAGGCCATAATTTCTAAATCCTCAGCAATCATTCCATCTCATTAATTTAATGAAGTTTCTGTACTAACCTTCCTGAATATTGCAAAACAAGAATACAAACCTAACTGTTTCTAGGGCTTAGCAGATTAGGTTTAAAAAGGGAGTGGGGTTGCTATAGTCATGTCTTTCTTCTGAAATTGCAGAGTACATATGGTATAATCTCCAGACTGTCGCTCTTGAGGTAGATACGTAGTAGTATTTATCTAGGAGCAGTGTTAACCTGAAATTAAGGAAGACTGGGAGGGCTTTCTAAAAGAGACAGTGGACCTTCAATCCTTGAATTCAGTCCAGCCATCTGGTTTCTATTCTGCCCTCTGTTATAATAGTTGTGATGGTAATTGTTGCCCAAGGCCATACGTGGTAGTTGGCAGCTATGTACAGTTTTTATTTGAAAACAAACCTCAAAGAAGATCCTCTTATAAGGAGGTCTGAATATCCTTGTGCTTTTTTTACATAATGTTGTTCGGGACTGTCAGGACAATTGCAGCTAGAAGGCCCGAATTTTGTGTAAAAAAAGTTCTTCTCATTCAGAGAGTTCTGTCCTCAGGCCACAACCATCCCTTTTAAGTTTCTGCTTCATCCAGCAGAGGGAAACATGTTTCTGATCATTGCCTACACAGCTTGAGAGTATTAATTACTATTGGCTAAGATTATATTCAATACCAAATTAAGTACCCTAGGTTGTGCAATTAGTGGTCACACTAAGGAATAAAGAAACTCATCAGTTGCACAGTAGATAGGACTCATTTCCAGCCTGTGTCACCTCAGTAACTTGTGCTACCTGGCACACAGACTAGATAAGACAGGGTTAATATTATTTGCTATCGCAGTAACATCTGGATCCTTTGACTGAGAATTAGACATGGCACTTTGCATGCGTGATCAAATGAATTTTTTTTGCCCCAGAAGGCTTGGAATTTATATATGTCAACATGATAAGTAAATGTACAACAACCAGGAGGCGATGCTAGAGTCCCAGAGGAGAAGCAGCAGCCCTTTGGCCTCCAGTGAGCTGTCTGAAATATGTCTCCTAGCATCAGAGGTTTTATGAACTCTGTTGTTGCAGGTAACGGGGGAAACACATTATTTTTACCTCACTGTTGAGCGCAAATAGTGGTAGCCTGATGAGCCTCCGGTGCCAGCCTTGCTGCCAATCATTCTGTGCACCAAGCAGACATGGTTATCTGAGTGATTAAAAAGAAGAAAATGGCATTATGTTCAGTGTTTAGATATAACCAAAGAGTCACGCCAAGATGTATCACTGAAATACTAAAGGGCACACAGAGATCTTTACAAAGATACAGAACTACCAGATTTTGAGAAATGCAGGAGTTAAATCTGCCACTCATCAGTCAACTAATACGAAATTATTGTTAATTCAGAATGAACACTCTAATTGTTATACATTATTATGCTCTGATAATACTGAATTAATGCATTCACTTATGTGTGCCTAGATAGGGAAGGAGCAGAAGAAATGTTTTCATATAAAGACATCATGATGACATTTGGAAAATATATACCTGTCCCTTAAATAAAAGAATTCACCTAACTTATAGCAGGTCATAGAAATGACAGCTATACCTATGTATCTCATTATCACAGAAGCAGCTCTTAATCTTTCCTTTTGGCTGAAGTACAGACAAAAAAAGGCATTCGTAAAGCATGAACTCTAAAGCTCAATTCTAAGACATTCTAATTCAGGGACAGAACAATTTATTTGCATCTAAAAGAGGGAGTGTCACAGTCAAAAAACGGAAACTTACATCTCCATTTGGTCATGAGCACGTCGAGATCCATAAGGGAGGTAAGAAGCTGAAAGGGAACCTGGAAACGAGGTTCCTCTCTTGGAAAATGAAAGAGAAGACAGTGAGACCTCTTGGTCTATACTGTATTTTTCAAAGAAGCACTTCACTGGTGCTTAGTGACGTTACATATATTTTTCCCAAATTGGTATTGAAATGTTAATGGATATTTTAACAAACGCTTCTGCCATGTATGACTTGATCTGCACCTTCTCTCTCCTACTTGGAAAAGGACTCCAGATCTTTCTAGCACAGGTACAACAGTTTGAACAAGGCATTTTCTAGTTACCATCTGAGGAACAGCATCTGGTGAGACACTAACTAGACACCCAGAGGGGCCATGTAACCTCCATCCATGAAGACATTCAAAACTCAGCTGGACATGGCCCTGAGCAGCCTGATTTGACTCTCTAGTGTCTAACTAATTAGGGTTTCTGTGGAGGGTTGGATTAGATTATTTTCCAAGGCCTGTTCCAACCTAAATAAATCTGTGCTGCTGTTCTTAATCTTCCCCTCTCTTCCTGCCAGTAAGAATTAAAGTACATCTTCCAACATTACCTGTAGAAGTAGATCATTAAGGCCCCCTTCAGCGCTTTGTAAGACAGCCGTCTTTCTCCTGCAAAATACAAGTGTCCTTAATTTGTTATTGATTATCCTGCAAATTTAATGCTATTATGTGATTATATATATCATGTATAGAACTTACAAGTTTACATAAAATATTACAGTTTACCTTTACTGAGGAGATGTTCATGGCGTTTTTCATCAAATAATGAAAGTAATACATCTCTCTGTTTTTGGAATTCAGACAATAAGTCATCCTTCTCTTCTGATTCTGTTTTGGCCTTTGATATTTAAAACAAAAAGAGGTTTTAGAATTCAATAGGGAAAATTAAGAACTTGAACAACTCATTATGCAACTTTTATTTTCATCATAAATACTCTGAAGTTCTTACATCTACTTCTTAGATGTATTTTCAAACAGGATACATGAGTCACTGACCTTTAAAAAATGTCATTACCACAAAATGTACAATTAAATAGATGCCAACACAATTCAGATGAATGTCCAAACAAACTTCTAGCTTATCACTTTAATTTCTGTCTAGAGGCCTTAAAAACAATCTTAATTTGTTTCAAGTTTGATTTATTTTGTTTTCAAGGCAAAAAGAAGACATCCTTTCATAGCTTTGGGTAAGAAAATTGTATATAAAAGTTTAGGTAAGTTAGAAAGTTATAAACATATTCTCAGGAAATTGATTAATTCTTGTGATTTTTTTTTCATTAAAAATGTACTTAAAAATGCAGGTCAAAAAATATTCAGGGATTTTCTAGTGCTTATGTGCCAGTGTAATTCAAATGGTCATAGCAGCAAATTGCAAATTTAAGTCGGAATGTTATTTTGCCAGCTGTCTTTGCTTATAGCTAGTTCAATAGTACACATATACCTGTATCAAGGCAAATTCCTCTTCTAGACCTTTTAAAACATTCACTTCGAATTGTCCCCAGAAATCAAATCCTTCTGCTTCGAGTCCTGGAGTTCTTTCCAGCCATGCCTTTAATAATAATAATAATAATAACAATTATGATAATGGTGTGTTTAACAATGCAAGCACATTACCCTAGAATTACAAGTTATACCACCATAAATTTTACTTCTTCAGTTGTTCTGGTTTAATATCCTGTAGAGGTGCTTATTGCTGGAGTAAGCACATATGATGATTTATACTTACATAATGGTGCCATACACACACCCACATGGGTTCCAGATTAAATGACCAGTGTTGGAAGACAAAAGTTTTCTCATTCTAAGGGTGTATTTGAAACAAAA